ACATCTCTGGCAGTAGATTTCTCAGCAGAAACCCTCCAGGCCAAGAGAGAATGGCATTATACATTTAAAGTGCTGAAGGAAAAACTTTTATTCTAGAATATTACATTCAGTGAAAATATCATTCGAACATGGAGAAATAAAGACTTTCCTAGACAAACAAAATCTTAGTGATTTTAACACCAGACTTGTCCTACAGGAAATGTTAAAGGGAGCTCTTCAATCTGAAAAAGAAAGGACGTTAACAAGCAATAAGAAGTCATCTGAAGGGGTTGGGCATGGTGGCTCACGCCTGTTATACCAGCACTTTGGGAGGCCACATCAGGTGGATCATGAGGTCAGGAGTTCAAGACCAGCCTGGCCAACATAGTGAAACCCCATCTCTACTAAAAATACAAAAATTAGCTGGGCATGATGATGTGCACCTGTAGTCCCAGCTACTTGGGAGGCTGAGGCAGGAGAATCGCTTAAACCAGGGAGGCTGTTTCACACTTCACATATAAAGATGCATATAGGTAAAAATAGAGGGATGGAAAAAGATACTGCATGCAAATGGAATTCCATGCAAATTGAAAACGACAGGAGTAGCTATACTTACATAGATAAAATAAAGTTCAAGATAAAAACTATAAAAAGAGACAAAGAAGGTCATTATATAATGATTAGGAATTGATTCAGCCAGAGGATGTACCAATTGTAAATATACCTACACCCATCCCTGGAGCACTGAAATATATAAAGCAAATATTATTAGAGCCAAAGAGAGAGATGGACCCCAATGCAATGGAATAATAGTTGGAGACTTTAACATTCCACTTTCAGCATTGAGTAGATCATCCAGAAAGAAAATCAACAAAGAAACATCAGACTTAATCTGAGCTATAGACCAAATGGACCTAACAGATATTTACAGAATAACTCATCAAATGGCTACAGAATACATATACTTTTCCTCAGAACATGGATTATTCTCAAGGATACACCATGTGTTAGACCACAAAACAAGTCATAAAAATTTCCAAAAAAAGGAAAATTATATTAAGTATCTTATCTGACAGAAATAAAACTGAAAATAACAAGAGGAACTTTGAAAACTGTACAAACACATGGAAATTAAACAATAGGACCTGTATTATCAATGGGTCATTGAAGAAATTAAGAAAAAACATTAAAAATTCCTTGAAACATGAAAATGGAAACACACACCCAAACATATGGATATGGCAAAAGCAGTAATAAAAGTTTATGGCAGTAAGCACCTACATCACAAAAGTGGAAAAATTTCAAATAGACAACCTGATCTTAAAGAACTAGAAAAGCAAGAGCAACCAAACCTAAAATTTGTAGAAAAAGAAATAATAAGGAACAGAGCAGAAATAAATAAAATTGAAATTTAAAAATACAAAAGATAAAATGAAATGTTGGTTTTCTAAAATAATCAACAAAAGCAACAAACATTTGACCAGACTGACTAAGAAAAAAGAGAGAAGACCCAAATAAATAAAATCAGAGGTGAAAAAGGAGACCTTGCAACCAGTATTCAGAAATACAGATACAACAGAAATTCAAAAGATCATTAAAGACTATGGACAACCATATGCCAATAAATCAGAAAACCTAGAAGAATGGATAAATTCCTAGATACATACAAGCTACCAGATTCAACCATGAAGAAACTCAAAACCTGAATAGACCAACACCAAATAAAAAGATTGAAAACCATAATAAAAAGTCTCACGTTAAATAAAAGCCTAGGACCCAGTGGCTTGACTGCTGGATTCTACCAAACATTTAAAGAAGTAATATCAATCCCACTCAAACTACTCCAAAAAATAAATAAATAAAGAGGAGGAGAGAATTCTGCCAAAATGTATGCTACAAGGCCAGTATTGCCCTCATATCAAAACCAGACAAAGACTATATTTAAAAAAAGGAAACTACAGGCCAATATCTCTGATGAACATCGATGCAAAAATTCTCAACACAATCATAGCAACCCAAATTCAACAACACATTAAAAAAATTATTTATCATGACCAAGTGGGAGTCATCCCAGGAATACAAGGATGGTTCAGCATATGTAAATGTGATACATTATATTAACAGAATGAAGAACAAAAACCATAGGATGTCAGGTGATATAGAAAAATCATTTAATAAAATTTAATATCCCTTTACAATAAAAATTCTCAAAAAACTGGGTCTAGAGGGAACATACCTTAACACAATAAAAGGCATATATGACAGACCCACAGCTAGAATCATACTGTACAGTGAAAAACCAGAAGCCTTTCCTCTAGGATCTGGGAAATGACAAGGATGTCCACTTTCATCACTGTTATTCAACATAATACTGGAAGTCTCTAGTTAGGACTTCCAGTTTTGGAATATCAGAGAAAGAAATTAAAGGCACCCAAATTGGAGAAGAAATCAAATTATCCTTATTTGCAGATGATATGATTTCATATTTGGAAAAATCTAAAGACTTCACAAAGAAAACTATTAGAACTGATAAACAAATTCAGTAAAGTTGTAGAACACAAAACTAACATACAAAAATCAGTACCATTTCTATGTGTCAATAGTGAACACTCTGAAAAAGAAATCAAGAAAGTAACCCCTTTACAAAAGCAACAAACATAAAAAATGCCTAGGAATGAACTTAACCAAAGAAGTAAAAGGATCTCTACAATGAAAACTATAAAACATTGATGCAAGAAATTGAAGAGGAAACACACACAAAAAAATGAAATGATATTTTGTGTTCATAGATTAGGCTAATCAATATAAAATGTCTATACTACCCAAAGCAATCTACAGATTCAATGCAATCCCCATCAAAATATCAATGATATTCTTCATAGAAATAGGAAAAATAATTCTAAAATCATATGGAACCACAAAAGACCCAGAATAGCAAAAGCCACCATGAACCAAAAAAAAATAAATAAATAAAGCTATAGTAACCAAAACAGAATGAGACTGGCATAAAAATACACATATAAACCAGTGTAGCAGAATAGAGAATGCAAAAACAAATCCTTGCATCCATAGCGAACTCATTTTCAACAAAAGTGCCATGAACGTACATTGAGGAAAGAACAGTTCAGTTTAGCTCTGATTTTGGCTATTTCTTGTTTTCTGCTAGGTTTGGGGTTTGTTTGTTCTTGTTTTTCTAGTTTCTCTAGGTCTCTAGGTGTAATATTAGGCAGTCAATTTGACATCTTTTAAACTTTTTGGGCCGGGCGCGGTGGCTCACGCCTGTAATCCCAGCACTTTGGGAGGCCGAGGCGGGTGGATCACGAGGTCAAGAGATCAAGACCATCCTGGTCAACATGGTGAAACCCCGTCTCTACTAAAACTACAAAAAATCAGCTGGGCATGGTGCTGCGTGCCTGTAATCCCAGCTACTCAGGAGGCTGAGGCAGGAGAATTGCCTGAACCCAGGAGGCGGAGGTTGCGGTGAGCCGAGATGGCGCCATTGCACTCTAGCCTGGGTAACAAGAGCGAAACTCCGTCTCAAAAATAAAATAAAATAAAAAAATAAATTTTTTGATGTGGGTATTTAGCACTATAGACTTTCCTCTTATTACTGCTTTAAGGCTGAGTACAATGACTCATGCCTGTTATCCCAGCACTTTCAGAGTCTGAAGTGGGAGGATCTCTTGAGTTCAGGAGTTCAAGACCAGCCTGGACAACACAGTGAGAACTTGTCTCTAAAAAAAAAAAATTAACTGAACATGGTGGCACATGCCTGTAGTCCCAACTACTCAGGAGGATTACTTGAACTGGGGAGGCTGAGGTTCCAGTGAGCTATGATCACACCATTGTACTCCTGAGCGACAGAGGGAGACCCTGCCATAAAAAATTAAAATACTGCTTTAACTGTGTCCCAGAGATTCTAGCATGTTGTATCTTTGTTCTCATTACTTTCAAATAATTTCTTGATTTCTGCCTTACTTTCATTGTTTACCCAGAAGTCATTCAGGAGCAGGCTGTTTCCATGTAATTGTATAATTGTATAAAATTAATTTCCACGTAATTGTATAGTTTTAAGCAATCTTCTTTGTATTACTTTCTATTTTTATTGCACTGTGGTCTGAGAGTATGGCTGGTGTAATTTCCTTTTTTTTTTTTTTTTAAAGATGGGGTTTCACCATGATGGCCAGGCTGGTCTTGAATTCCTGACCTCAGGTGATCCACCCACCTCGGCCTCCCAAAGTGCTAGTATTACAGGCATGAGCCGCAGCACCCGGCCTAATTTCTGTTTTTCTTAAATTTGCTGAGAATTGTTTTATGCTGGATAGTGTGGTTGATTTTAGAGTATGGGCCATGTACAGTTGAGAAGAATGTGCATTCTGTTGTTTTGGATTGGAGAGTTCTGTGGATGTCTGTTAGGTCCATCTGGTCAAACGTTGAGTTCAGGTCCCAAATATCTTTGTTAATTTTCTATCTCAATAATCTGTCTAATGTTGTCAGTGGGGTGTTAAAGTCTCCCACTATTATCATGTGGTTATCTAAATCTCCTTATAAGTCTCTAAGAACTTGTATGATGAATCTGGGTGCTGCTGTGTTGGGTGCACCTATTGTTAGGATAGTTAAGTCTCCTTGTTGAGTTGAACACTTATGTAATGCCCTTCTTTGATTTTTGTTTTTTGGGTTTTTTCGGGTTTTTTTTTTTTTATCACTGTTGGCTTAAACCTCTGCCTCCCGGGTTTAAGTGACTCTTCTGCCTCATCCTCCTGAGTAGCTGGGATTACAGGCATGTACCACCACACCTGGCTAATTTTTGTATTTTTAGTAGAAACGGTGTTTCGCTATATTGGCCAGGCTTGTCTCAAACTCCTGACCTTGTGATCCACTCGCCTTGGCCTCCCAAAGTGTTGGGATTACAGGCGTGAGCCCACCGCACCTGGCCGTTTATTCCTTTTTTTTTTTTTTTTTTTTTATTTTTTCTCTGATTCACATAATTTAGAGAGTACCAGTCTTTAAGCTCTGAGATTCTTTCCCCATTCGGTCTTTGCTGCTAATACTTGCAATTGCGTTATGAAATTCTTGCAGTAAGTTTTTCAGGTCTATCACATCAATTTGGTTTTTTCTGAAAACGGCTATTTTGTCTTTTGGCTCCTCTGCTGTTTTGTTGTGTCCCTTATATTCCTTGGATTAGGTTTTGACTTTCTCCTGAATCTCAGTGATCTTCATTCCTATCTATATTCTGGAATCTATGTCTGACATTTCAGCCATTGCAGACCTAGACATGCTAGGACACCAGTGTGGTCATTTGGAGGTTAAGTTGCCAGAGTTCTTGTGCTGGTTCTTTTTAATCTGTGTGGGCTCATGTCCCTTTAATATTTGACGTTGCTGTCCTTTGGGTGGAGTTGTTTGCTTTTATCTTCTTTGAGGCCCTTGTGGGTTTGATTGTGCTATAAGGTGGGTTCAGCCAACTAAATTCAATTCTAGAAGATTTCAGAAGACTGAGGTTCAGCTCAGCACTCCTGGGCTGTGTGCTTTAGCTCTGGGGGACTGGTACCAGTTCCCTGACTTTGTCTCTGACCCATTCAGATTAGAAACCTCTGGCACTGGATGGCCAAGGTATTTTCAGTTTGCTGGCCACAAACACTCCACTGGGGACTGCTGGGCAAAGCACTTCACTGGGGGCAGTATCAGCAGGGTCCATTTTGGAAAAATCTAAAGACTCCATTCCCCATACTGGGGCAGTGTCAGCAGGGTCCGTGCTCACTTGTGTGCGCCAGCAGCTGCAGCAGCAAAGAGGGGTGCACATGCATTGGCTTCGGCAGGGCACTGGCCATAGCCTTTGCCTTGTATTTCGCAGGTGCTATAACTGGCAAAATATTTTGGTGTTGCATGTTGGGCTGCAATCCAGTAGGTGATACTCAAGAGTGTTAGCCAGCAGATAGACTCTTACCCTGTTGCGTGGCTCGTTCGTGTTTTGGCACATTTAACAGTAGCGCTCTGTGGTGGCGGGGCAGAAAGATGACTCCCTCACCTAGTCTGCTACTGGGCCTTGGAGGTGCCCCTCTGTTACTGGCTCCATGCCAGTGTTTCTTTTGTTGGGTGTCTGGTCAACGAGGCTCCCTCAAGCAGGAGCCACCATTGGCAGACAGGCCATGTCTTTGCTGAGTCACCCTGCAGAAGGAGGCACAGCCCACTCCATCAGCCTGCAAATCTGGGCATCTCACATCTCAGTATTCACCAAATGAGGGCTTTTGGATCACTGAGAGACTTCCAGAAGTCAAACTGCTAGGCTGGAAGCTCTAGCAGGTGTGGCCTGCCTAGAGATAAGAGGGCAGGCGTGGGTGGAATCCTGCCATCAGTATATATCCCGAGGCAACAGGAAACAGGAGGCTGCACTCACTGGCAAAATTCAGGCAGAAGCAGGACCACTAGGCTGGAAGCTCTAGCGGGTGTGGCCATCTGGCTACAAGCAGTGGCGGTGGGTAGAGTTGTCCACCCTGCGGTCCAGGTGTATCGCAGGACCACAGGAGGCTGCACCTGTCGACTGAGCTCAGACAGAAGTAGGACCACTGGACTGGAAACTCTAGCAGGCATTGCCTGCCTGGTTATCAGCAACAGGCGTGGGTGGAGTTGCACACCCTGCCATCAGAGTGTCTCCTGGGGCAACAGGAAGCTGCAGCTGCGTGTTGAGTTCAAGCAGAAGCAGGATTGCTGAAGCTGGCACCAAGCCTTGTCTGGCAAGGCAGGGCGGAGTAGTCTTACTGCTCCCAGGTGCCACATCTGCAGCCTCTATTGGTTTGTCCTGGGGTCCAGAATTTACAGAGGTCCCCATGAACTTGTCAGTTGCCTCTGCAGAAACTCCAGGTGGCTAGCTCCTTGCCTCACTTTAGAATCAAGATTGGGGAGCATATGAGGCAGGTGCCAGAGGGATCTTCCCATTCCCGGGCTTGCACGGGGCCCTATGGAGGGTATGAATTCCCTGGGGTGCTCTCACTCACTCTTTCCAGTGTTGGGGAGCTTCTCCTCATTCCACATTGCTCCCAGATGGCAGCTGCCCAGCTTCAGTCCTTTCTACCCTCTTTGTCCCTTGCTGCCTTCGTGGATCCCAATGTGGTTTGTTTGATGATCAGCTGGTAGGGTCAGTATTCACCAGCACTTTTGTTTCCTCTCTGTGAGAGCGGCACACATGAGCTGCTTCTAGTCTGCCATCTTGACACCTCCTTTTCTTCTACTTTTTTTTTTAAATTATTATACTTTAAGTTCTTGGATACATGTGCAGATCGTGCAGGTTTGTTACATAGGTATACATGTGCCATGGTGGTGGTTTGCTGCATCCATTGCCCCGTCATCTACATTAGGTATTTCTCCTAATGCTATCCCTCCCCAATCCCTCCACCCCCTGCTATTCTTCCCTAACCCCCTAACCCCTAGGCCCTGGTGAGTGATGTTCCCCTTCCTGTGTTAGTGTTTTCTCATTGTTCAATACCCATTTATGAGTGAGAACATACGGTGTTTGGTTTTCTGTTCTTGTGTTAGTTTGCTAAGAATGATGGTTTCCACTTTCATCCAAGTCCCTGAAAAGGACATGAACTCATCTTTTTTATGGCTGCATAGTATTCCACGGCATATATGTGCCACAATTTCTTTATCCAGTCTATCATTGATGGGCATTTGGGTTGGTTCCATGTTTTTGCTATTGTGAACAGTGTCACAATAAACAGAGAAATCACCGATCATTTGGATTTCCCAGAAATAGTTTTATTCATTTTGTAACTTAGTAACAGAGTTACTTATATTTGTCTACATATCTTCCCTCCCAAACTTGATCTTAAATCTGCTTTCTAGATGACATTAATGATTAAATTCTTCCAGTTTTCAACCAACCAACAACTACAATGATCTTTGCGGAATTACAGAGCAGAGAGAGGAAGGGAAATATCTGCAATACTATTTATAAATAGCATAAATCTAACACAATGAGTTTTTGCTTTTTAACTGATTCTGTAGTGTCAGAAAAAGTTCCCAAAATGTTGGTTTGTGCAGCAAATAGTTAGAAGGGACCTACCATGCCATCAGGGGCTGTGCCAGGTAATGGGAACACTACCAATGAACTGATAATTGCCATATTTGTACCTCTCACTCCTCACCCTTGAATTTCAAACTTGCATACTCAAATATCTGCTTAATATCTCCACTTGGATTTTACCCAGCAAATAAAACTCTATGTGTCTACAGGCCGACCTCAATCCCCCTGACACAAATCTCCTCCTCTCCCAGGTTTCCCCTCTTCAGTAAAAGGCAATTCTCATTTTTCATTGACTCAGAACTTTGAAGCTTTGGGTCAGCTTTGGAGTCATCTTGACTCTTACCTTTTCTTTCACTGCGTAACCAATACAGCAATACACACCATGTATGTACTCTGTCTCCAAAATGTACTGAGTCTTCCTAGTTCTCTCCATCTGCACAGCCAGCACCCTATCCCAAGATACCATCACCCTGCAAATTAGCCTCACCCTACTCATGTTTTCCTAACTGCACTGGTATCACATACAGATAAACAAGAAATATGGAAAAATATCAATAGCATTTTACCACGTGGTTAATGCTATTACACTGCTTCATAATTCTTTTCATTTTCTATATTACCTGTAAAAATCCAGATATTACAATACTTTTACTATGTGAGAAAAGTCATACTTTTTATTTTGGTTGACTACCACTCTTTTCTCTTTGATATTATTCAATTATTTGCCTATCTATTTAAAAAAAAAACCTGGTAACTACATCCATCTATTTTTTTTTCTTTTTTTTTGAGACAGTGTTTTGCTCTGAAGGCCAGGCTTGAGTACAGTGGCGTGATCTCTGCTCACTGCAACATCTGCCTCCCAGGTTCCAGCGATTCTCCTGCCTCAGCCTCCCAAGTGGCTGGGATTACAGGTGTATGCCACCACACCCGGTTAATTTTTGTATTTTTGGTAGAGATGGGGTTTCACCATGTTGGCCAAGATGGCCTCGAACTCCTGACCTCAAGTGATCCACCTGCCTCAGCCTCCCAAAGTGCTGGGATTCATTACAGGCATGAGCCACCGCGCCCGGCTATGCTGTGGTTAAAAGTAAGGATATGAGCTACTGAGGGCAGGGCACCAGTGCCTTAAAGGGAACCAAAAGTAGGCTCCTGAAGTCTGGTAATATTCCCTTTTTTTTTTTTTTTTGAGACGGAGTTTCGCTCTTGTTACCCAGGCTGGAGTGCAATGGCGCGATCTCGGCTCACCGCAACCTCCGCCTCCTGGGTTCAGGCAATTCTCCTGCCTCAGCCTCCTGAGTAGCTGGGATTACAGGCACGCGCCACCATGCCCAGCTAATTTTTTGTATTTTTAGTAGAGATGGGGTTTCACCATGTTGCTTGACCTCGTGATCCACCCGCCTCGGCCTCCCAAAGTGCTGGGATTACAGGCTTGAGCCACCGCGCCCGGCCATAATATTCCCTTTATCTGAATGCTTGTTCCATGAGTTTGGTTGTTTTGTGAAAATTTATTAAACTGATCATGTATGATACATGGTCATTTGGGTATGTGCACTATATTTCCATAAAGTTTATTTTCAATAGCCTACATGTCTCATCTAACCTGTACGCCTCCTGCCTTTTCTCTCTGACATCATTTTCTACTATCCACCCCCCGGCCTCATATAGGTACCATCTAGTGATATGGGCCTCCTTGCTTTTTCTTAAATGTCTCAGGCTCCCTCCCACCTCAGGGCATTCCAACCTCTGCCTGCAAAGCTCCCTGACCTCCCATGATCCCCATATGCCCTGAATCACACCTTCATCTCCCTCTCAGCCTTTGCCAGGTCACCTTCTCAGGTAGGCTTACTTTAATCTACCTATTGAAGGTTGCAATTCTCCAAAAATTCCTAATCCCCCTTATTTCCTTTTTTCACAATGCTATTGTTTTCTCAGTAATAATTTCTATTTCACTTATGATTACTTCCTCTTACCCCTTCCATAATACACTAGATTGAAAGCTCCAGAGATTGTTGGATTTTGTCTATCTTATTTACCAATGTTGTCTCAGAGCCTAAAATAGTGCCTTACAAAAATATTTGTTGACTAAATTAATTAGAATGAATAGGTATGGATCAGGCACAAAGTGTCAAGCACTGATGTAAAAGCTCTGAGCAAGACAGGCATGCCCCAGCAATAGAAATAGCAAGGCAGAGATTATGAGTGGGGTAGAGGAAGTGCATGGAGGGAAGGAGGAAGTGAAGTTACAGAGTAGCTGGAGGTCAAATCATAAAGGGCCATGGGCTGGGCGTGGTAGCTCACACCCGTATTCCCAGCACTTTGGGAGGCCAAGGTGGGTGGATCACCGGAGGTCAGGAGTTTGACACCAGCCTGACCAACATGGCGAAACCCTGTCTCTACTAAAGATACAAAAATTAGCCAGGCATGCTGGCGTGTGCCTGTAATCTCAGCTACTCAGGAGGCTGACGCAGGAGAATCGCTTGAACCGAAGAGGTGGAGTTGCAGTGAGCTGAGATCACGCCACTGCATTCCAGCCTGGGCCACAGGGCAAGACTCCATCTCAATAATAATAAAATAAATCAACAAAAATAAAGTGCCATGGAGCCATTGTAGGGCTGACTTTTGTGTGAAATGGAATCAGAGGGGTAGGTCCAGAACTTGGTAAGCAGGCTCACCTGGGGATGCAGAAAGAGATCCAGTAATGAAGATAAATAGCATTTTAACACAACAGCTTATATAAAAATGAAATGGACAAACTATAGCCAACAGGATATTTGCTGTTTATAAATAAAGTGTTATGAAAAACAGTGCCAGGATATGATTTACCAGTGAGGCAGCTTCACTTGTGCAAGCCACAGTTAGATCCCGATATTATTTAAAACTTTGATATTTTGTTCATCATGAATTTTTGCACAAATTTCTAGTTTTTTAAAATGTTGCCATAATATATTTATTAGATATCCAGCTTCTGGTCTGGCATGTAAGGAGCTTGGAGGTCATCACTCCCATCCACACAACAAGGAAAACAGTAAACTGTGTGTAGTGCTCCCCTCCCTGTGTCCGTGTGTTCTCATTGTTCAACACCTGCCTATGAGTGAGAACATGCGGTGTTTGATTTTCTGCTCTTGTGTCAGTTTGCTGAGAATGATGGTTTCCAGGTTCATCCATGTCCCTACAAAGGACACGAACTCATCATTTTTGATGGCTGCATAATATTCCATGGTGTATATGTACCACATTTTCCCTGTCCAGTCTATCATCGATGGGCATTTGGGTTGGTTCCAGGTCTTTGCTATTGTAAACAGTGCTGCAATGGGTCTGCTGAGGGGAAATGGGGGAGGGACAGGGTGGTGGGGAGGTGGGGAGAGATAGCATGGGGAGAAATGCCAGATATAGGTGAAGGGGAGGAAGGCAGCAAATCACACTGCCATACATGTTCCTATGCAACAATCTTGCATGTTCTTCGCACGTACCCCAAAACCTAAAATGCAATAAAAAAATAATAAAAGAAAAAGAAAAAAAATAAAGAGAAAACAGTGAACAAGCTGAAAATCAACAATTTCCTAGATCTGTGAGAGAAGCGAGGTCACAGGGCAAAGTGCTGCCCCTTAAAATTGGAAACAGACAGGAAGATACAGAGAATCAAAACAATGAGCAGAAGCTGACTAGCAGAAACTATTGGTAGAATGGGAAAACCTACACAGCAGTCAAGGATTGCTGGAAGCACGGTGTGGTCAGGCTTAAGTTAAAAATGCCAGGATAGTCCAGCCTTTGTTGGTTTTACTCCCAAGAGTCCTACCAGGTTCTTGAAGTAAAGATCAGAGAAATTTCTCCTTGTGCTTTATGTAAGAATGAGAGTGTCAGGTCTCCATAGGCAAGCCTGGTGCCTGAAAGTCTGAAGTCCTGCTTGCCTGGTCTGATCGTCTCCCACCCCCTGGCCTGCATTCACCATTGTCCCTAATCACCCAGCACAGCTTCCCTGGACAAGCCCCTCACCCTACCCTGCCATCTTAACCATTATTATGATAATACCCTTATCCCACCTGCCATTGTAACTGAACTTACTGTAATGTATACTCCTTGCCCCTACCCCGACCACTGTAACTGATTTTACTCTGTAACTTTCCACTGCCCACCCCAAACCTATTAAACCAACTCCTATCCCACTGCCCTTTGCTAATGCCCTTTTCAGCCTTAGCCCACCTGCACCCAGGTGAATAAACAGCCATGTTGCTCACACGAAGCCTGTTTTGGGGGGGGTCTCTTCATTCAAAGCACGAGTTTTCAACATTTAGTGCTGGAAACCCAGGACAGGGGAACTCCTACGGGAGACCAAACCCCATCCCTGTTCTTGTGCTCCCTCCATGAAAAGATCAACCTACCGACGTGGGGTCATCAGACCAGCCCACAGATGCACACTGCTGGCCATTTTGGTAAGCAGTTTCTCTTTTTTGCTTTCCTGTTCTTTTGTCTTTCCCTTTCCACCTCCTCCCCCTTTCGGTTTCATCCTTTTTTCCACCACAAAAGCAAGGAAAATCAGGTAAACCAGGTTCTTCCATGAGGTTCAGGACCGGAAAAATCCTACATAGGTCACGGATCCAGGGATCCAGTTTTCCCCAGGGGTTTGACTATCGTGGAGACATTCACCCTAATCACTCGCCCACCAGGCTTATGGCCAATACTGGTGGCAGGTCAACGCAGAGGACACTCTCTTTGACCACTCTCCAATGAGGAGGTTCAACCCAGGCTCAACTAGGGACTCCTGTTGAGCGGCTGGGTTGCCTGCCCATTCTCCTTGTCTCTGCTGCCTTTCCAGAACCGTGGGCAATCATCTGTCTTCTATCCCTCCCTTCTCCGCTTGCCTTTGTTCTAAAGAACCTGAAGCCTCTTCAACTGTCTCCTGACCTAAAACCCAGACATCTCATCTTCTGTAACACTGCATGGCCACAATACAAGTTAAACAATGGCTCCAATGGCCAAAAAATGGCATCTTTGACCTATTTTACAAGATTTAGACAATTTTTGTCACAACACGGGCAAATGGTCTGAAATTCCCTACGTCCAGGCATTTTCTTACACACCAATCCCTCCCTAATCTCTACTCCTTCTCTTCCCTTCCATCTGCCCCTCCTTCCTCTGCTGGTTGGACAAAATCATCATCCTTGTCCATCAACCCTTCCAACCTTTCTCCTTCCAACCTGTCTGAACCAGGCCCTAATCCAGGACCTAACCCCACCGCCCAGGGCCTTCCTCCTCTTCTTCTGCCCACAGCCTACCTCCTTATTCCCCTCCTGTCACCTCCCCACCTCATACGTGGCCCAGCTTACAGTTTAGTAGCGCGGCTACCTCCTCTGCCCTCCCCAACAATCCCCCCTTCCAGAGGTGGCTGGAGCCAAAGGCATAGTTAGTGTGCACGTTCCTTTTCCTTTATCCAACCTTTCCAAATTAGCCACCGGTGAGGCTCCTTTTCATCAAATCCTCCAATACTTAACCCAGTCCTATAATCTCACCTGGAGTAACTTAATGTCGTCCTTACTTCTCTCACCCCTAAAAAAAGCCTAATATGCATTCTATCACCCAATCAACCCCAACGTACAAAAAGGTACAGAAATTAAAATCTGTAACTCAAACCCTACAACAGGAATTAAGCAACCTCACCTTCAAGGTGTTCAGTAATAGGGAAAAATCTGCCGGCGGCAGTGAATCTCAAAACTACAGATGCTTGCCTCTGCTGTAAGACAAACCCCAGCCACACCACCGGCTCACAAAGACTTTGGAGCACCCAGACTGCAGCGCGTCCAGCCACCCCTCCTGGACCTTGCTTCAAGTGTGGGAAACCTGGCCACCAGGCCAAGGAATGCCCACAGCCCGGGATTCCTCCTAAGCCCTGCCCCATCTCTGCGGAGCCCCCACAGAAAGTCAACTGTCCGACTCACATCGCTGCTTCCGAAGCTCCAATCTTTAGCTTGGCAGCTAAAGACTAATGCTGCCTGAGCATCTTGGAAGCCTCCTGGACCATCACGGACACTGAACTTCAGGTAACTTACAGTGGAGGGTAAGTCCATCCCCTTCTTAATCAACACAGAGGCCACTCACTCCCCGCTGCCTTCTTTTCAAGGACCTGTCTCCTTGGCCTCCATAACTGTTGTGGGAATTGATGGCAAGGCCTCCAGGCCTCTCAAAAATCCCCGAGTCTAGTGTCAATCAGGCCAACACTTCTTTCCACATTCTTTCCTAATCATCCCGCTTGTCCAGTTCCCCTGTTAGGCCAAAATATCCTAGCAAAATTGTCTGCCTCCTTAACTGTTCCTGGGCTACAGCCACACCTGATTGCCACCCTCTTCCCCAAACCTGTACCTCCCTCAATAGCTCCCCTATGTCCCCCTACCTTAGCCCTAGGGTGTGAAACACCACCTTCCTATTTGCTACAAGTCACTCACCCCTCGTCATCCCCTTAAAACCTAACCACCTTACCCTGCCCAGCCCCAGTACCCCATCCCACAACAGGCTTTAAAAGGCGTAAAGCCTGTTATCACGCGTCTATTGCGAAATGGTCTTTTTATTCACCCTCCTGCTTCTTCAGCATCTATACTCAAAAGAGTATCGTGTACTCCTTCCAAAGCCCAAATTTCTTCCCATCTGTTATAATCTTTCACCAGCATACATGCGCTCTCCCTGCCAACCATATCCCGTTAATTTCCCAAACCCCAACCCCATCCACCAGACAACAGCTTCTCTCCTTCCTGGATGTGGTTGCTACTTTCACCTCTGAATACCAGGTTTTGCTATTCTAAGCTATTGTATAAACTCGCTTAAAAAAACGTATCCAACCCTATTAATCCTAAATCCTTTCCTCATGCCTCCTTTCACTCCTTACAAACAGCTCTAAAAACTGCTCCCTCCCTAGCTCTCCCCAACCTGTCTCAACACTTTTCATTCTACGCTGCTAAAATCCAGGGCTATGCAGTCAGGATTCTCACATAGGAGCCAGGCCCACGGCCTGTAGCCTTTTTATCCAAGCAACTTAACCTAACAGCCCTGGGCTGGCCCTCATGACAACGCGCAGCAGCAGCTGCCGACCTAATACTCTTAAAATCCCTCAAAACCACAGGCTGTGCCCCATTGGCCCTCTAGCCCTCACAACCTCCAAAGTTTTCTCTTTACACCTCACACACTTACTTTGAGCCCCTCGCCTTCTCTACCTTTATGCAGTCACCCCTACTTAAATCACACCTCAAAAAGCCTGTTTCTGTTATTTTCTGTCTAACTGTGCTCAAATTCATTGTCCTCTTTTACTTTTACATGCCAGCTTTTGTTGAAGTTGTCGGTTTACGCTTTTCCTCCAGGCAGTTACAGTTAATATTTCACTCTTAATCTGGCCCCCGTTCTCTGCTCACACCCAGTCTTGTGAATGAAAGTGAGTTGCCGGGCGCGGTGGCTCAAGCCTGTAATCCCAGCACTTTGGGAGCCGAGGCGGGTGGATCACGAGGTCAAGAGATCGAGACCATCCTGGTCAACGTGGTGAAACCCTGTCTCTACTAAAAATACAAAACATTAGCTGGGCATGGTGGCGCGTGCCTGTAATCCCAGCTACTCAGGAGGCTGAGGCAGGAGAATTGCCTGAACCCAGGAGGCGGAGGTTGCGGTGAGCCGAGACCGCGCCATTGCACTCCAGCCCGGGTAACAAGAGCGAAACTCCGTCTCAAAAAAAAAAAAGAAAGTGAGTTGTTGCTTATAAACACCACACACCTCCTCATACACCATGAAAACAAAAGCTCTCCCTCCACACAGTTACCCTACCAAGCCCCAATACAACCTTTAACAGCTGCAGCCCTTGCTGGTTCCCTTGGCATTCGGGTTCAAAGCTCCAAAAACCTGTTGTTGTTATGTAAACCAGCCTGGCTTCATATATGATGACAGAGCCCAAAGGCTCACTAATCAAGCAAATGGATATTCTGGACCCAGCTGGACTGGCTGGGCACTGTCTAACTGGGATTCATAGTTTCTTCCAATTCTTAGTCCTCTACTAGTACCTTTCTCCTTCTCTTATTTAAACCCTGTGTTTTTCCAATTAATCTCTCAATTCCTACAAAATCGTATACAAGCAGTAACCAATCAGTCAATATGACAAATGCTCCTTCTAACAATGCCACAATATCACCCCTTTCCCCAAAATCTCCCAGCAGTCTAAATTCTTTCCCATTTTTAGGTTTCTGCCCCGCCTCCAATCCCACCTGAAGAAGCCTTGACAAACTTCGCCCCCAACCCCTAAAACCTGTTATCACCCCTTCTCTAATTCTTTCTCTCTCTATAAAAAGACAGGTATGTCAGGTCTCCATATGCAAGCCTGAAGCCTGAAAGTCTGTAGTCCTGCTTGCCTCGGTTGATCATCTCCCACCACCTACCTACATTCACCATTGTCCGTAATCACGCAGCACAGCTTCCCTGGAGAAGCCCCTCACCCTACCCTGCCATCTTAACTGTTATTATGATAATACTCTTATCCCACCCACCATTGTAGCTGAACTTATGGTAATGTATACTCCTTGCCCCTACCCCCACCACTGTAACTGATCTTACTCTGTAACTTTCCACTGACCAACCCAAGCCTATAAGATGAACTCCTATCCCAGTGCCCTTTGCTAATGCCCTTTTCAGCCTTAGCCCACCTGCACCCAGGTGAATAAACAGCCATGTTGCTCACACAAAGCTTGTTTGGAGGGTCTCTTCATTCAAAGCACATGTTTTCAACAGAGAGGAAAAGTAGCTATTATGAAATATGCTCAGAGCCTTCTTCTTAAGAGATGCCCTTGAAAGAAACTATTTCACCAGAGCCTTCTCAACAGGGATTCTGCCAGAACCTAACTGATTTAAGAGAAGCAAAATTACTAACTGCAATTGGGCAAGAATATGAAATTAAAGGCATTATATTGGAAAGGAAAAAGTAGATATTTTCAGATGACATGACCTCACCTAGAGAAAAATCCAAAGGAACATAAAAACTATTATAGCTAGTAAATGAGGTTGTAGGATGCAAGATCAAAAATTTTAAAAATCAGCCCCGCATGAACCGCCATGTCTGGCTGATCCCAGCACTTTGGGAGGCCCAGGTGTGGATTGCTTAAGCCTAGGAGTTCAAAACCAGCCTAGACAACATGGCAAAACCCCATCTCTATTTTTAAAAAAGAAATTAAAAATCAGTTGTATTGCTGTATACTGGCAATGAACAATTCAAAAATGAAAATAAGATAATAAACCTATACACAATATCATCAAAAAGAATAAAATACTTAGAAATATATTTAACAAAAAACTACAAGATGTGCACACTGAAAATTTCAAAATATTATTAAAATATAAAAAATCTAAATAAATGGAGAAACATCCCATGTTTATGGATTGGAAGACTTAATATTGCTAAGAGGGCAATACTCTCGAAAAGGATCAACAGATTCGATTCACTTCCTATCAAAATCCCAACAGCATTTTTTCAAAAATTTACAAGCTAATCCTAAGGTTCACTTAGAAATGCAATGGATCCAGAAATAGCCAAAATAATCTTGAAAAAGAAGCACAATATTGGAGGACTTACACTTCCCAAATTCAAAACTTACTACAAAGATATAATAATTAAGAAAGTATTGTACTGACATAAGACAAAATTTATAAATCAGCTGAATAGAATTTAGAGCCCAGAAAGAAACCTATATATCTATGATCCATTGAGTTCAACACTAATACCAAGACAAATTCAATGAGAAAAGTATAGTCTTTAGAAGAAAAGATATTAGAACAACTGACTATCCAACAGGAAAAGAATCAACTTGGATATCTATCTCATGTTACATACAAAAATTAATTCAAAAAAGAACAAATGCCTATGCATACAAGTCTAAACTATAAAACTATCAGAAGTAAGCATAAGTGGAAACTTACCTGGCCTCAGATTAGGCAACAGTTTCTTAGATATGATACCTAAAGCACAAGTAACCAAAGAAAAACTAGATAAACTGGCTTCATCAGAATTTAAAACTTTTGTGCATCAAAGAACACTGTCAAGAAAGTAAAAAGTCTTCACACAGTATGGGAGAAAATACTGACAAGTCATTCATCTGTTACAGATTTAATATGCAGAATATACTCAAAGAATGCTGAAAACTCAGCAATGAAAAGACAAACAGCCCAATTTAAAAATGGGCAAAATGACAGACCAGACACAGTGGCTTATGCCTGTAAACCCAGCTCTTTGAGAGGCTGAGTGGGTGTATCACTTGAGGTCAGGAGTTTGAGACCAGCCTGGCCAATATGGTAAAACCTTGTCTCTACTAAAAATAAATAAATAAATAATAAAAACAAAAATTAGCTAGGCATGGTAGCACATGGCTGTAATCTCAGCTACTCAGGAAGCTGAGGCATGAGAATCGTTTGAACCCAGGAAGTGAAGGTTGCAGTGAGTTAAGTTTGTACCACTGCACTCCAGCCTGGGCAACAGAGCAAGACTCTGTCTCAAAATAAGTAAATAAATAAATTATTTGAA